TTGTGTCTAAATGAAAGAGTGAAAGAGATTTTCACTAATCGACTTTTAAATTAAAAAAAAAGACTGTTTGAGTCAAGTTTATTGCAGCATAATTTACGTGTAGTAAATTCACCTTTTACTTCTTTGCTATAGACTTTACAGAGTAATTTTAATTTGCATTTTTTTATTAGAAGCATGAGGAGTTATTTTTATAATCAGAAGAAGAGAGATTTGAAAACCCCAAACATAATGAATAAAACTTTTAAATAAGCTGAGCCAATTTGCACATTCTTATTTCTTTCAAACTCAGCAGATCTCAGCCTTTGGAAAATGAAGAGTGCTCAGAGCAATACAGACTGATTTCCCCCCCCCCCTTCCTTCTTTTCCCCCCTCTTCTGTGTTCTTGCCAATTTTGAAGGAGCACAGTAAGACAAATTGACTGTCAAGATGGAAAAGCTTAACTGGGAAGATACATTTATTGAATAATTGAAAGGAAGAGGAAGTGCATTACCGATTAGCCACAGAAATGCAGGACGCCTAATCTGGGTCTCGAGAGAATCATAGAAATGGGAATCATAAAGCCCTCGGAGTTCTCAGCAACCCTCAGAGCCTTCACTGCCTGCTTAGATGATGCCATTCCAGAGCATTTAGAGGTTGGTGATAACTTTCAGGGTTAGCTCAAGTGCAGTATTCCTCCAGCGCTTGCTAACGTTTCTAACCTTTTTACACTCATGTGGTTTACAGAAATTGATAACTGAATTCTGGAATTATTACCCTGCTTTGTTTAAGGCCTGTGTTTTCCCCCTGATTTAAGCATATTATTGTGTACCTTTAAGCTGGAACCAACTCACAGCTGACCCTCCAGCAGGAAATTGCAGAGCATGAGGCCTTACCTCTCTGGCGTGACTGGGTGGTTTAGAACTGCCAGCCTTCAGGCTAGTAGTCAAGCACAAAGCCTTTGCCTCCTGGCCAGCGTTCAATTATCAGTGAGCTTGGAGTCTTGCCGGCTGTGAGAGATGCTGCGGGTGCTGACAGGAAAAAGCACTGAGAGGGAAGCGAGGCGAGTCATGTGGATAGAGACCCCACCAGTTCAGGGGTTTTCCTTTGCCATCTTGCAGCCTTTCCAGGAAAATGGGGCTCTTTATTTATTTATAGAAATACTTCTATAAATAAATAAACAAGGGTCCATTTATTTTTTAACTTATGAGCTGAGTGAAAGTTAACAGAGCAAATTGATTTTCCATTTAGCAGTTGATACGCGAGTTTCGTGACACTGGTTACAATCTGTGCACTGTCTCTGTGCACTGTCTCAGCGCGCTGCCCCTGCCTTACGGTGTTTCCCCTTTCCACGTGCCTTCGTGTCTGTCTCTCTGTCTTCTGTGCTTCAACCGTGCGCACCTGCTGCCCTTTGTATGCGTCCCTCTCTGGTTACTGGTCGTTCCCCAGGCCCGTCTTGTTTGCCTGAAAGGTTAGTTGTAGGGTTGATCGTGGTTCCAGGCTTGAATGATGACTAAGGCTATTTAGTCCCAGTGTCCTCCAGACCTATAAGCCTGGTTTGTTTGAACTCTTTCAGAATCTAAAATCTTGAGAGCAATACAATTTCAATTTTTCCCCCTCATAAGCAAAAATCTGCCTGGAAAGATACTTCCACAGCCCCAGATAGAAACGTGTGTGTGTGTGTGAGAGAGAGAGAGAGAGATATGTCTGAAATTAAGCGTGATATCATGGGGGCATCATGACACCTTGCACTTGTATGCTTGGAACGTGTGAGAAGGGACTCAGTTTCTGTCCTCTTGGTAGAGATTTCCCAGGCTGGCATTTGGGGATAAGCTGCGTTGATAAGCCAAAGTGTGTTTCCACCCGGGGTACATATCACTCCATAAGTGTGCAGTGTTGCCAGGAGATCTTTGGAAGGAAATTTCTGGGAAGACATATGACTGACGAGGGGGTGAGGGGGTGTGTGTATAAGATAGCAGGACAACAACAGGAATGGGGGAGTGCAAAGTAGCTTATCTGGGACTGCCTGAATGACAGCCATGCTTCAAAAAAAATCGTAATCTCTTCTGTTGTTGTAGCAAAAGAGAGTTCTTTTAGCTCAGAAAACGCGTAAGAAAGACACTTTCTTCCCAAATAACTGCAGAGTGATGCTTTCTCCTAAATGCTTCCGCGCCTTTACATCTCTTGCCATATTGGTATTTCATTGTTCTGTTAGAGAAATTTTGGGACTTGGCTCATGGGGGATCCTTTAACCAGGGAAGAGGTGTGTCCCTCAGAGCTTCTCACCCTGGAGAGGACATATCCACGCAGGGCACCTCCTCTCTCGTTTTCCTGGTTGTAGGATTTTCATTACATTTTATATCCATTGAGCTTAGTGGCCAGCACCTCGTTCCTTGCCGGGTCCTGTATTTGGTGGACCATCTGCCATGTTTGATGGTTCAAATTCCCAGAAGGTGAGAGTCGGGCTGTTGCATTTCACGTTTTACTCTCAGGAAGAACCACAAAGACCTGGCAATCTGCTCCTGTAAAGATTGTTGGTGGTGGTGGGTGTTGTTGAGTCAGGTAGGACTCATCGTGATGCTACGAACAACAGAGCTGAACCTTGTCTAATCCTGAGCCGTCCTGATCATCTGATGGTGTCCGCCCATCTCGTCGAGGGTCTTCCTTTCTTTTGTCGATGCTCCATCCTTTCCAAGCATGATGTCCCTCTCCAAGAAATAGCCTTTTCTAACAACGTGCCCAAAACACGTGAAACAGAGGTGTGTCCTCTTGACCTCCAGGGAGCACTCTGTCTGTCCTTCTCTAAGGCATGTCTGTCTGCTCATTTGCCAGTGCGTGGGGTATTCACTATTCCACCACCACAGCTCAAAGGCGTCAGTTCTTTGTCATCCTTATTCACAGTCCAGCTCTCAGGTGTATGTCAGGTCATTTAAAGGACCTTGACTTAGAGCTGAGGAAGCCCTGTGGGGTTAGAGTCCGACTCTGTCACTTGGCGTGGCTGTGAATGGAATCAGCACAGAGCTTTGGGTCTAAGGAGTGGATCTCCGAGACTCCCACTTTGACCCCTGGCCTGCAGAGATCAGCGCCCACGGGGGCCCTCTGGCGTGGAGCTCTGCATTCTTCCCGCCCTCTTTGCCTCAGTCTCCTCACTTCACTCTCCTGCACGCCCCGCCGCCGTGCTCACTCTCTCTGGGTGCCATGCAGGGATGAAAGGGGTTGCTAGCTCCCCGCAGCCCACAGTGATATGTCAACATGTGAAAGCTTGTAGTTCCCAGCAGGACTTGGGTCTGACTGGGGCGCAGGTCACCAAAGAAACCAGGCAGGTAAACGGATATAAATAAGCAAGCCCCTCTGCCCTCATGTCGGTTCCAGCTCACCCCACGCGTGTCAGAGAAGAGCTGTGAGCTACAGGGTTTCCAAGAAAGGATGATTTTTGCGGGGG